TTTCAACGTATTGTTTCAATGCAGAGGAATAGATAAACAAGTATTCTTCGAGAAGTAGTCGGTGCGCTGGGAGAGGTTAGGAGGTTATGTTGCACCTAAACTCGCAGACGTCGCAGAGGATTCACCGACCAAAATATATACAATTTCCAGTGAAATCAGCATTAATCTTGGTGGGCACAGTTGTTTTCTACTGTAAATATATAGCCCGGTTACAGTCTGACTGCTGTTTCGTCACAAAGAAAGGTGAATTACAAGTTTAAAGCTTTTATAGGCTTCGGCCGGGAGAGGGCTAACTGCTACAGTGCTGAGTGTTGTAGAAAGTTTGAGATAAACCGCAGTAAGTACACAAATGACACTAAAAAAATCTGAAAGTTTGTGAAATTTGGCTCGGGATAGGCTGCGTCCCCGGGAGCACGTAAAAGTGTAAACATTTATAAAATGTTTATAAACATGAGCTGGGGTTAGGGGCCGATCGGTAGGCCCGGCTTTATAACCGTTATTTTTAGTTTAGGAGGTGCCGATTCGACAACAAATACCTATAAAGCACTTCGCCAATGTGTCTCTTACCTTTTTATCGAAGGTCTGATGTGGATCGGGCATTATTTTGTCTGAAATACTGAAAGTAATGGACCAGTGCGACGGGGTCTCCTCAGCGCTCGCAAATAGTTTTGTTCATTAACAAGACAAAAGACGCGAAATAGGTGAGGTCTTGTTATATTCCAGCTCCTTGTGACCTGCGGCAACGTATTGAAAACTTTCCTTAACGATTCTTGTATGGCAAAGCATTTTAAACATAACTAATCTGCAGTGAGGAGCACTGAGCGGTGGTTTCAACGGCCAATTCGCGCCGTCAGGGCAGCGACTTCCGGGGCTCGCGCATAGGCCGCGCTCTCAGCACTGCGTTGCGACCCCCTGGTTTGCCCTCAGAGCCAAACGCAGTCAGATCACCTTGCCATACCCGGTGTAGCTCCCTGCACACGTCTCCATCGCCGCACTGTGTCGCCTACATGTGCACTGACAAGCGATTTGCCTTCGTTTATCAGATTCCCTTCGCCAAAAAGAAGAGAATCGAGTCCCGAGAGAGAGAGAGAGAGAGAGGAATGTGGGGGAGGGGGGTACCTGGGGGCATCGTGTCGCGAGGTGTTCTGTATAATGGTCAATTGATTTCGTGTGGTGTGTGAGAGAGAGGGGAAGGGGGGGGGTTTGGGCAGGGCAGAAAGGAGCACACTTACACCTCAATTCACGGCACGAGTACTCGCTTGCCTTGTCGCCCAGAACAATGACTTCATCGGACTTTATCGCGCTCGCCGAGGCCAGAGAGCGCCTGGTAGTTAGGCATGTCTGTTGCGCACCGGAGTAGTGCTCGGCTGCCTATCTCGACTTAGCAGGCGCCAGGCCAGGGTGATTATTATTCTTATTATTATCATTACTATTATTTGTATTATTATTTTCTTTTTGTCACTCCGGGAGGGAGTCGCTGTCAGTCCGTTATGGACCAACGGGCACACAAGACGACCCAACCAACAGGTTCACATGCAGAAGCCAAAATGCTATGTAATGTGAGAAGCCGTGCTAACTAACACAGCCTCGCTGGGACGTCTTCCCGCGTCTGCTTGGCCGTTAGTGACATTTTTTTCTTATTTAACGCTGGAATATCTATTTTCCTCATTTGTGCCGTAAAAGTTAAACATACCACCGCTCGGACTCTATCTTTCGCAGAGTCTGAACCTCAAGTTTGTGTGTGTTAGGTGTTTCCTCTTGTCCAGGTTTGTCACACAAATGTGTGTCCCAAGCTTGGGATGCCGGCACGCCTTCAGGTGCGCGCAGTCCTCTGGAGGAGACGTAAAGTCATGCAGTTTCGTGTTGCAGTTGAGGCGCCGTGTCACACACGCGTCACGCTGCGTCTCTCATTTGTGATTCTTTCCCTCTCATTTGCATGAAGCGCGCGCGCGCGCTCGTCGGGCGGGTGAGTTTACAGTCGCGGCAGCTGCCTGACAACGCAGAGAGGGAGAGAGAGAGAGAGAGAGAGGCGTAGTGGGGCGAGGAGGACGAGGCAGGGAGGCACACGTTTGCAGAAATTGGGATTGGAGGGACTGGTAATGAGGATGCCTGGGGCAGTGATCAGGCGTGTACCCACGGGGGCGGGGCGTACCGAGTGCATGCCCGAGAGAGAGAGAGAGAGAGAGAGCAGAGGGAGGGCAAAGCGTGGCGTCCGAAATCTCGAAGCGCCCCGCGGCCTGGAGGTGCGACAAGGACGGAGCCGATTCTGTGTGGGCGGCAAAGCGTGTGGGGGAATAAGGGACATGCAAAGCAAGGGCCTAAGTGCATTCCTTTGATGAGATGATGCCTTTCGGGGGGATTCGTGCGTCTGATCGCCGGTGGTGTCTGCCCGCTGCTGTGTGAGTCAGTCTCACTCGTAGCGGCCGCTCACACACAATAAAGCTGTGAAATGTATTTCTTTTTTCCCCTGTTCGCGCGGCGCGGTCTCTTCTCACACGCAGACTATGCCCTAACGGTCGCGGCCCGACGCTGCGTCCTCCGAATTCAGTTGTTGATCTTTATTATTGGACCACTCCATTTGGGAACCAGTTACCACTACGGGGCCTAATCCTCTCGACAGAATGCGACTTTATGATTCATTTCGTTAGGGCACGCTGGAAAAAACTCGACATGTCCTTCAATAAT